GGACTGCTTTATATCCGCGGGACTCGCGTGTGATATCTGTCTCTTTAGCAATCGCGACCTGCTTCATACCACTGTAATGTTAAAAAACATGAATGTTTGCACTCATCCATAAACATTATTAGATCCATCAGCTTGACAGCAAGTCCCATCATTCAGCTCATCACTGCGTCATTAACCTACGCCTTTGTTATTGTTGGAAACTGCGCCCTCTTGTGTCGAAAAAAACTACATATTGTGCCTTTAATCGGATATGGGTAAAGAACGTGTAAACGGACAGTCAAAAAAATCGGATATCGGCAACAAATTAGAATTGGGCATCAAGACCTGCAGTGTAAACGAGGCCTATGTGTAGTGGAAGGGGAGGAGCAATCAGAGACCGATGCTGGATGACAAAAACCTCCAACCTCCATCAGGGATGGGCAGACAGACCTCCTGACTCAGGGTGAATCCCAATTCTCTGCCTTACCCCTTCCCCTTCCCCTCAGTTTTGCATGTTCACGTGAGAGTAAAGCCCCGTTCACACCGCCAGCGACACGCAGCGACAAAATCCCATTCATTTCAATGGAGCGCTGGCGACATCCGGCGACACGAGCGACAGTGACCGTTGGCGACAGAATGTGGGCGTGTCAAGCGACAAGAGACAAACGACAAAAGTTTAGAAATTTCAACTTTATGCAAATGAGAAGCGATTTTCGCGAGCGACAACCAATAGGAAAGAAGACTTTCAGTGGAGCTCACGTCACCGTGTCGAGTGCAGGCAAGACAGAAGAGTTCGAGGACAATTTCACTGTTTTATATGATTTGCCTGTAATCACATACATGGATATAATTTAAATGATGCATGGAAAAGAAACTGTCGACAGTCTCAGTGAGTTTAATTCATACATTTATAGTTCGTATAAGTGAGTGTTGTAAGTTTAGCACTGCTGCAGTTCATTTCAGTTTCATACAGTTTCCCCTGCATTATGTTGATATTAGGGACAAGAAAATGTATTATTCGTCAAATTTGAATGACGTTTTAGTAATTTATGACAGTATGAGTGAGTTTAATTGGTTGATTGATCAATCGTTAATCTAGTAAATGATTTAATCCACTGAACACTGCTTTGGTAATATAAAAAACCCTCTCCCAACAGCATACTGTTTCTTTTGAGCCTAATTCCTAGTCAAATTAAAATTATATAGTTGTAGGCTATTTATCACTTGTGATGGTATTTTGTATAGATATGGCCAGACGTGCAGTCTACCAAGAACATTAGAGCGACAGCACCACGAACGCCCACAAGCGACTTCACAGTACAGAGACTAGCGACATACAGCGACAAAGTGGGCTATCCCAATTCTCGTTTCAAGTAAGCTTGCGAAAAATCCTTGGTTTTATGGGGTATCTATCTAAAGTGGCCGGAAGTCATTCATTTTCAATGTGAGCCAGCGGCGAGGGAGGCGCGTCTTGGACGGCGAGGAGAATTTGAAGTCAGGTCAACTTTATGGTAATGAGCGATGATGCGGTTCGGCGGCAACCAATGGGAAGTTAGAAGTGCTCCGTTCGAGGGGATTCCAGGGAACGCAGTCCTGTAAACTTTGATTCCGACCACATTAGTTCCCAAGCAAAATATACCCCTTTTCCACCAAAAACGAACTGGTTCGGAACTGGTGCTGGTTCAAAGTTGGTTCGGAGTTGGTTCAACTTGCGAACCTTCTCAGAACCTGTTTGTTTTTCCACTGACTAGAGCGCCCAGCGAACGACGTCGTTACGGCACTGTGTACGTCGCCATTTATCTTAGCTAGAAACGCTTGCAAGTACATTACTTTGGGATTATCTAACTCGTGAACCAAGAAGGCTTTAAAAACAATTGAAATATGTAAGTCTTTTAATCTTTTCCTTTGATATGTAATCTTTTCTGATTAGTTATGTACTCCTGTCTTGTGTCTTTTTTTCTTTCCATTTATTTGTTCTATATTGTGACTGTTTTCTCCTTTGCTTACATAACGTTTTCAATAAAAAAATAAAACTAGAAACGCTTGCGCCAACTTCAAGCATAACAATTACAATGGCGGACTACATCGTGTTTCTGCAAATGTTTCTCCTGGCTTTGCGATCCTATATTATGTCAGAAAATATGTTATCTAAACCCGCCCCCAGCCCCCGACGTAAGCATGACGTGGTAAAAGAACGGTTCTAGTCCAGCAAAGAGTTGGTGCCGCTTTGGAACCAGTTTTCCTGGCCGAGAACCGGTTCTTTGGCTGTCGAAACACAAAGAACTGGTTCGCGCACAGGCACCGGCTCCGAACCGGCTCTCAAAATGTGTTGGTGGAAAAGGGGTAATAGAGGAGAGGTTGATCATTTGAATTTGATAAGAAGACGCGCAACACTATTTATAGGCAAGATTTTCGCGCTAGAACGCTTGTTTTTCAGCGGGAATGCAAATTAGATTAGCACTTAACCATGAACACAAAAGCCACACCACACACATTTCTTTTAATTGGTTTGTTTAGTTAGCAAACATGTCACTATAATTGTTAAGTTCTTTCCATCGATCAATTTCTTACTTTCACATTTAAAAGATTCCATGTGGTTAACTTAAACCCTACTTGGTCAGTCTGCACAAATACCGATCGACATGCTTGTTTGCTTTGCGGCCCCTTTAAATAAAGTTTTAATAAGACCAAGCACTTGATCTACGTCAGAGCGTCCACGAATCTTTCCACTGGCAGGGCGGCGAGAGCGAATTTTGGGGGAAGGGGTAAGACTGAGAATTGGGATTCACCCTCAGTCTCCGGATCAGGACCTTCTTGCTCCAGTCAGAATCAAATTAGCTGGAAATCAGCTTCAGGTCTTTAACTAAGCTTGAGAATTTGTTTCACTCCAATCCAAAATAGCAATCCAGCTTGTTCCTGTAGTAGAGTTTTCATTCTCTTTAGCTGATGCTAAATACACTTCCAGTCTTTTCTTGATCACGAGGTCCTTAAAGTTATGTGCAGTCCACTGCCTTTTACATAAAGGACACCTTGCTTTTGTAGAGCCTGAAATATCCATACAAAAGTGTCCAGCACTGAGTCCCCTAATGTTCTCATGCTTTGACTCGGATACACAGATGTGTCCTTGACTCCTACAACGTTTTCTCCGAGCCATTTTTGCAAAAGCTCTTCCTGTGTCTATTCGACACTTCATCACACCCATGAACAAGTAAGTGTTAGCTTAAATACAGGCATAACATGCATTAATAGAACAGTTCACCAAATATTAAAATTGACACCCCCATGTCATTGCAAATCAGTATAATTTACTCTCTTTTGTTGAACACAAAGGGTGATTTAAAAAAAAAAAATCATAAGTATATATATTTTTTAGGGGTTAAATGGATCGTTGTGTATCCGCATGGACGAGGCCCCACAGTGTGATTCGTGGATTAATTGCAAGTTTAGCTGCCATGGACTGAAAGCTTATAATTTGCACATGTTTTGTCTTGCTAGTTTACACATTCAATATATTTTAAACCATTCCAGTGCTAGAAGAGGCAAAAGATAATTTAATTCGGTCAAACCGCGCACACACACAGAGAGAGACAAGCGTTTCATATTTGATTCCTTGTTTTCATCTCTTTGCAAATACCCGTCTCGGCAAGTGTTCTTGTAAACACCTTTGTGAACAAGTGAACGAAAACAGTTGAGAAAGAAATCGGATGTGTATTATTATATTGGGTCTTATAGACAACAGCAGGTATTTATAAGCTCTCACTTTATGTCATTAATGTCAATCAAAACACAATAACAATCTATATTAAATGTATACAGTTAACATAGTGTTATTTTACATTTCATTTCTGTACCTTACTATATTTGTAACTTTGTTATATTGTATTCATCTATGCTTGTCATTCGTGTATTTGTTCTTATTTTAGATTGCCTTTAAAAATGTTTGAACTTTATTAGTTAGGTTAGTAGTTTTTGCTGTGGTTTCAGAGTATTTAAAGTGTGCTTTAAGTAATAAATGGAAAGCAAAGTACATTTTTTTTCTTGCTGATCCGAAAAATGATCCGATCGGTGACTCAAAAAACGTAGTATGATCCGAACCGTGAGTTTTGTGATCCGTTGAACCTCTAATATTTTTACATTTTGGCTTAATCTCTTTTGTCTGTCCCACACAAAGCTAGCATATGGTTTCAGAAGACTTGTGCGTCTGAAATCACGTACTGTCTGAGTAGGTACTACATTTAAATTTAAATTTACTTTGCAACCATTAAAAAGTACGTTCTATATAGTATGAACACGGGCAGTGGAGTGGACATTCAGACGTACTACATCCGTCATGTTGTTACTGTCATGTGACCTACTAGCGTCAGTTGCGTCGCTTCACTGCCATTCATAAATCCTCTCCCGTGGCCTCATGGGATAGGAAAGTGTCCATCGAATGCACACTGAAGTAGTGGGCCATCTGGAGACACTACTCAAGGCGTACTGTATTTCGTATACTATATAGTAGGAAATTATTTTATTTCGGACGCAGCAATGGAATGTATTAGTGGTGCTTGTTTTGGCATGCGTTATCTTGGGAACAGGCATTTTACAGATACTTGCTGTCTTTTGTCCCACACAAGATCCTAACAGAAATCAGCATGGCTATTATAAAGGTAGGAGTTTAGCATTAAGAGGTTTCTGCAATATGGCACCAGCAATGGTAAAGCAACCACGTAGCAATACCCCAGGAACCACCACAAGTTATGCATAGCCAAGCACCACTCACCTTTTTTTTCTCTCCAGAAAGTTGGTAAGAAATTGCCGTTTGCAATATCAAGCAGCGTGACAATTTGTTTTGTATATCTAAACTGGAAGCGGATGAGACCAGAAGCCAGACACTTTCAATTTACAAACAGCCACGTCTGCTCTTATGTTAAAAATAAGGGTTATTGTCTGTATTTAGTGCAGGTTAATTCAGAACATTTGCATGTGTTTTTGTGTGTATGATCAAATGAATGTGTTCCCTTTACATGTAATTGCAGTTGGTACGGATTTTGGCCAGGACACCATTGAAAGTGCCGGAGTCTTCTTGTTTAAAACATTCCACAACAAAGACCAAATCAGTCATGAGGAAACCAGGGCCATAAAACAGATGTTTGGACCTTTCCCGGCGTCTCCTGCCGAGTTGTGCTGTGCAGCTGTGGGTCGTTTAGTGGCCCAGATCGGAGAATCTCAGGTGGACGCTTTCATCCAAACACAGAGCTCTCTCAAGACGGTGAACCGTGGGTCTGTCTTTGGACGAAACATTGCTTTCTCATTTGACGCGTACGCGTTGGATGCTCACGACACTATGCCCTGGTCAGAGGGCACTGATATGGATCAGGCCATGGACTTTCACAGCTTCCTAAATCATCATGTTGGTGAGCGGAGGACTGGAGCTGAGAGAGAGGATGCTTATTCAGCGGAGGAACTGGAGCAGAGAAACGCAGACAGCTCCATCCTGAGACAGGAGGTGGAGAAATACCTGAACGACGGGAATATGGTCTCGTCCAGTGTCGAAGAGCTCTCCACCTCGCTTTTTGAGATGCTTGCCTCCACACGGAGTGACGACGAACTACAAAACGAGGTGAGAAATGTTTATAAATAAATGTATGACATGATTGGTTACCAGTGTTTGATCTGATCTCCATGTTCATCATATACCGTATGAAGATCACGTATTTCTGATTGAAAATAGAAGTTGGGAGGGGACATATGAGACACAAAACCAGTCACATGGGTCCATTTTTATTTTATTTGATGGTTGGTTTGTTAGGATAGGACAATATTTGTCCGAGATGAACATCTGGAAGCTAAGGGTGCAAAAAAATCTAAACATTGAGAAAATCGCCTTTAAAGTTGTCCATTTATGTGCGCGATTGTGCTGCATTCACTCACCAAAATTAAAGTTTTATATATTTGCGGTAGGAAATTTACAAAATATCCTTATGGAACATGATATTTACTTAATATCCTAATGATTTTTGGCATAAAAGAAAAAATCGATTATTTTGACCCATACAATGTATTGTTGGCTATTGCCACAAATACACCCGTGCGACTGGTGACTGGTTTTGTGATCACATATTAGTTTGCACTTATTCTTAGTTACGGTCGATATGTTGTCACTCACAAAGTAGACACGTTTCTTGGAATTAACTGTTTATTAAATATTAAAAGACTTGTTTAAATAATAAAAGAGGTAATTGCTGAATGCTGATGAAGAAAGTGTTATAAGGTTAGCATTTCCATTAAGCCAAAAGCAATAATAATTCATGTACCATTTACTTACACTGTTTAATGGTTTTGTCAAATAATTTTAGCTAATAAAGACAGAGAAGAAGAGCCATGATCAGCAGCAATCACTTATTAGCTAAACAGAAAAACCTGATGCCGCTAATAAAAAAAAGCCAAATATCTGCCGATTGGCCTTGCCGATACGGCTCTCAATTGTTTTTCAATTACAGCATGAAATAAACATAGATGAACACCAGGAGGAATGTTGAAAGATAATGTTGAATCCTGTCTCGTGTAATCGCTCAATCAGAGCTTCAACTGGTGAAAGACGTCAATAAAGCAGTTTATAGGCTATACTTAATGTTACATTTACCTCAAGAAAGCTATTCAATGTCCTTAGACTCATTAGTTAGCAAGGAAAAAATAACTGTCTCTAGAGAAGAGCATTTTGCTAAATATCATATTCATATTTACTATTTTCGGCCATCCTGAAGTTTTGGTTTCGACCCAGAATGTCATGGGAAAAAGCAGTGGTAATAATTTATGATGTTAAAACGGTGATATTACATACAAGAAATAAACCTTCTGATACATGAAATGAATAATTAGGAATTGTTTAAACATTAAATCGTTCTTCTCCCATTTTCCACCTCCAAATCTTGTGTCGGCTGTGCTTCCCGCTGCAAAGATCAGAGAACCGATAAAGATCTGTTCACAAAGGAAAATGGATCACGTTACTTTGTAACCTTATGCACAGCAGTGAAGTTCATATTTTCAAGACCACCTACACATTAATTAATGATATCATGCGCAACTGCTTGTGTGTGACCCTAGAGTGCAGTCCACTGTGAATAAAGCACACTTGTAGATCTGTTTAGCAAACCGGAGATCACCTAGTCCTACCAGATTCATTGTGTCCTTCAGGAATCTGAAGGCCTTACACACACACACACACACACACACACACACACACACACACACACACACAAAGCACATTTTCATATTTCGGAAGGAGGGGCTTCATCGACAATCAAGCATGAAAACATATTCTAGTACATCACAAAAGCAAAATCAAGACTTCGTAAAAGGGCATAATAAATACTGATTAGTTAAATAAACATTGCATTAAAAAAATCTAATTAAAAGTTAGTAATAAAATGAAAAACAAAGAAACCCATTGCAAGTGCAGGTCTATTGCGCATACACACACACACACACACACACACACACACACACTCCAGAATGCACGGATCTGTTTTGACATACCAGATTTTTTTTTTTTCCGTCCGTTGTCGAGTCACAATTTCAATTAAAATTGTCAATCCCGAAACTGCAGTATATGAAAAATAAAACTATTCACATTATGAGAGAGTGCCGCCCTATAATCAATGAAGCTGAAGCAAAACTCACTGAACTGAGTGAAAACTCTTTATAGTCAAACAATATCGGTAACACTTTACTTGAAGGGGTGTGCATAAGACTGACATGACACCTTCATAATCATGACACGACACACATCATGAATATGAAGGAGGTTTTATGCACGTTCATGACAACTGTCATTAAATGTCATTCACTCAATTATGAACATTTTAATGCAAATATGACATTGTTTGAGATGTCTTTGACAACTTGACATAAACCAATACATCATAACCTGTCAGTCTTTGTCATGACAACTTGACATTACTAAGACAACATAACATGTCATAAATATGTCATAAACTAAGCTACTAGTTAGAAAGACGAAGCTGCTAGCAGCTAACGTTACGTGATTAGCTCTCACTAGGCACGCTACCTTGGCTGTTAACTGATTTTACTGTTGAAATAGTGGCAGGCTAGGACTAAAGTGGACTTGGCTGGTTTCTGCTTGTGTCTAGAAAGTGCTTTAGGCCTATATGACTTTGACTACATGTAACAACACGAACGGCAGTAGATCAAACCTTCTAGGCTAGATAGGATAGCGTAATGTCAAAACATCAAATTTGATAGCCCCATACATACATACATACATTGGTCCTATACATATTTTGCCGTACACTGTAAACCTTTTTACAACTTTCAAAGTCCTAGCACTTTTTAGACACAAGCGGGAAACCAGCCAAGTCCACTTTAGTCCTAGCCTGCCACTATTTCAACAGTATAGTATAGCTAGTCGACAACAAAACTATGTCAATAGCTTAAATCAAGTTAAATATGATCCAAGTGACATGGCCTCATCGTCTAGTTTGTCAAACTGTGAGTGTTAATGACAAAAGAAAATAGGCTACCTACTTGGTGAATCCACGAGATAGTGGTAACGTTAGATGTCTGAATAGTCCATATTTGGCCACTGCGTGGGGTCATTAATCCAGTTTTCGACCATTTCAAAGGGACACCTCTGTAACCCCGTATCCAGTAGCTTATTTAAATACCGCTCACGGTCCTTGGCCGGCAAAGAGAGTGTGTATGCTTGTGCCATTTTTGCTATCAAGAAACTTAGCAGATCTAGAGCGAGTTCTGTTCTCAGGGGAATCCGTGTGTTTTCCCCCAAAAAGGGGGCGTTACCCTTCGACGCAAAAGTAGCGTTGGTCTATTGTGAAAAGGTTTTCATAAGCTGTAAGCCATAATGATAAACAAATAAAGGCTTGAAATATCTCACTTTGCATGTAATGAGTCTATATAATATATTAGTTTCACCTTTTAAGTTTAATTACTGAAATTAATGAACTTTTTCACAATATTCAAATTTTTCGAGTTTCGCCTCTAAATAAAAATAAATTAGTGCTGGGCAATGATTAATCACAATTAATTGTTTGTGTTTACATAATATATGTGTGTGTACTGTGTATAATTATTTTGTATAGCCTTTATAAATACACACATATGCATGTATATATTTAAGAAAAATTTGTTATTTATATATAATATAAATTATGTATAAATATATACATGCAAATATTTCTTAAATATATACATGCATATGTGTGTATTTATATATACAAAATAACTATACACAGTTCACTCACCTATATTATGTAAACACAAACTTTTATTTTGGATGCGATTAATCGCTGCCCAGTACTAAAATAAATATATAAAATAAAGTTCAAAAATGTCAATGCATCCGAAGCTCAAATGGGATCCGAAACGTCCGGTCCGCCGGCTGTTGTTTGTCGAGTGCGGTGGAAAGCTAGCCTAGAAATCTAGACGCACCCTCGCGGCAGCAACAATTATTTTGCAGCCGGTGTGGTCTAGCAACTCTCCGTTGGCTTTTTGAGCTGGAAAAACCAAACTCTGGTCAGGCCAATCACGTCGTGTATAGAGTTGGTGGGCGGGCTTAACACAATGACGGCAGAGATGTGACGGTTCCGCGTGATTTCCATAGGAGATTTCCCTGCTAACGTTACTTGAAAACAAAGAAGATGCTGCTGGCGAACAGCGTCTTTCGAATCGGATTTGGCCGCGACTCTGGAGGACTTGGAGTTAAGAGAACGTAACTTAAGTCATTCTTAAAAAAGGAAGATGTGTTCGGAGTTTTGACGACCGGATACGGCAAAAGTTTAATATACCAACTAGCTCCGCTGGTGGGAAAACACATGGGACTCACACAGCCACAGCCGTTCCTTGCTCTGGTTGGTTGTAGTGCTGTCCTATTGCGTGCCGAGGGATATTGAAAGACAACCGTTTATCCCGCCCCTCGGATTGAGGTATGCCAATTTCGAGTTCCCAGACCTAACATCTTGATGTAGGTCTGGCTTGCCAGGCTAGTGGAAAGCGGCTAAAAGGTGTTATAAAGTCGTAGGCACCGAATGCTAGCCTGGGTGCTAGCCGAGCTTAGCTCCGCCCACAACATCTGAGGATGGGAAGTTCGGTCTGGACTCGATCCGCTGAGAAGCAAGTATGCCCGAACCAAAGCTGTTCGGACCAATCAAATCATCAGGGCGGGCTTTATACGATGATGGACAGATGATCAACCGTAACGTAATCATCACGTCACCGAAGAGCGCTTGGGTTGAGTTCGTTTACAACAAAGATGGCCGCCGCTGGAGAACTGAGATGTGTAGAACAGCGTCGCGTCTGTTATAGGAGATGTAGACAGCGCATTCATTTTAAAAGAGGAACAGAGAACCGCCATCAAGGCATTTGTCGATCCAATCGAGTGCAGACGCATTTTCTTTCCTGGTTGGGTTGAAACGCCCCATAATCACAGCCCAGTGGAGGAGCATCAGACTAGCATCTGAGTATGACGACGCCAGGCTAGCAGAATGCAGGAGTATATACAGTTTGTGAGGTGTAATCTTCCATGATAGGGGTGACTCCCCTCAGACCTAGAGTACCTGTTCTAATGTTCCTCACGTAGCTGACATT